GTGTGCGTGTGTGTGTGTGGCTGGTGCAGAGGTGTACAGTCAATTGTCTGCAACTTGCAGAGTGCAGCTTGACTAAAAATACGTGGAGAACAGCCGCATGTCTAATTACCAGGAAGCATTTCTTGGAAGATTGCTGAGATTGTCACCGGCATCCCGCTGCCACCCACTCTGCCTCTGGCTGTGTCCTACTTTACAGTATAGGTGGAGTCCATCATGTCCTTCTTGGGGGATTCGTTTTGGTGTACGCGCTGATAGAGAGGAATCTTTGTTTTTTTACACGACAGGAAGTGGTATCTGTGCGGCATGCGGGCACCGATATCTGCGGCCGCTGCCATGTGCAGCAGGCGTACTGGAAATGCCGCAGTGGTTTGTTGTGCATGATCTCCGCGTCACACGTCAAAACCTAATTGTGAACCGAGACGACTCACTTGCTCACTTTCTCCTGTGGTTGCTAAGCAATAACCACTGGTCTGTTTTTCTTGTGACTCTCCACTTTGCTCATTCGCAGTATTTGTGACAGTGCACGGGCGACTGCGTATCTGCCTGCACTCAGCCTGTGCTGCGACAGGGCCATGGCACTCGTGTGTCTAACCACTGCACAACAACAGCGCTGACGCACTCGGAGCAGTCTATGCTGCGGTCCTGGGTTTGTGGAGGTCTGAGAAACCGCCGGCGGTTGGCTGTGTCACCCAGAGGTGAACTGTGACCCCTGAAGCCTGGATGCAGGCTTTAGTGCCTTCAATACAGAGCTGTGTGTGTTTACCGACATTTGGGGCATGGGCAACGACCGCTAAGTAATAATCTTATATCGGACTATATAAAAGGCATAAGGTTGATGACCTCAATGCCAGCACACATCACATGACAGCTCAGCTGATATTCTGTCAGATATCCAGTTGTCTGCTCATAAACAGAAATTCCTTCCTGCTGTTTTAACCTCACCTTCTGTGCGGCTGCAAGCAGCTTTGCAACCCGCCTCCACCCCAGCTCCTCTTCTCATGCTGTTTCTCACCTACTCAGTTTCATGTCTGGATGTTTAAGTAGACAACAAAGCCGCGCTGCTATGGTCCTGTCTAACTAATCTGTTATTTCAATTAATATTTAATCTGCTGGTTAATTTTCTGCTTTACTTGGTAAAATTCAGGAAAAAAACGGAGAAGTTTTATTATATCAGTGAGACTCCACCTGTTTTATTTATCCAACATAAAGCACAATGATTTCAAGCAGAGACAAATCCTCCCTGTCGGCAACACGTTGCATTTTTCCTGTTGCGACTGATCTGAACTGTTTCTGTGGTTAGACTATTGGAGCACCGATGGAGCCTTCAAATGAGTAGAATCAAGGTGACTGAGAATGAGTCATACGGTTATCAAAGCAAAATCTCTCTGTGGCAAATCTGTACAATATAATTGATCTATTGAATGTGCAGGCACAATGCAGTGCCAGCCCCTGAACCTGCATCACCACAGAATGTGTCTTTTTTTAAAGGCTGGCTTTGATCAGTCGTTGTAAATCATCTTCTGCTTCTTTTGTTACACGGGCTTAGACACTATTTCAACATTTTCATTTTGGGAAGAAAGCACTGCGGTCTGCAGCTCTGCAGACACCTGCGTCTGCGTGAGCCTGTCGGGCCAGTTTGATTCACTAATCAAACACTTCCACTGCTTTGGTTAATGTAGCTAAGCCAGGCTGTGAGCCAGGGCACAACAATACAACACAAAGGCGGTTATGATAAAGTCAAGCGTGTGCATAGATTGTGACACGCTCTACGGCCATCACTGTTGTTCACGCTCCGTGTACGCTGAACACGAGCGCACACCGTGTGCCTCTGTGAGTTACTATTTAACATCGTTTAATCTCAGGCTGAAACGTGAAGAATTTCACTCGACAGTCTGAAGTGAATCCTGTTTCACACTTGACTGAATAGCAAGCAGCACTTCCACTCGGGCCCCTAAATGCTGTTCTTTGGTTGTATACTTGCAGTTTGAAGGGTGGGATGTGGGGCAGGGGGCTGCTTGTGACCTCGAGGGGCCCAGCGTGGCGGTAAGAGCCATTTTCGTCTCCTGACCAGTTGAATACAGTAACAGAGGCCCCTTCTGGGAGCCACGAGGTTTACTAGAGAAAGCCACCGACAGCCTGAAGAGCAGCGGTGAAATCACAGCTCTCCTGAGACGTGAGCTAAAAGCTCCACTTTGCACCGTCCTACTTAAAGCGAGAGCTGAACATCGTTTGTGTTGCAGCAGTACTGTCTAGACTCACAACACTGGTTAAACCGTAAACACATTCCCTCTTCACACCCGGATCATCACACAGTGTTGTGTTGGGAGAGTCTTACCAGGCCTATCAGGTACGGACTTCCTGCATCGCCCAGGAGATGAGAGGTGAAGCTCTGGAACGCGACAGCTGTTGCTCTCCGCGTGGGTATAACAACAAACTGCAAAAACACATAAAGAAACAAAGGCTGAAAAATGCAGCAGATTGCACAAAGTAACTGGAAAACCCGGCCCAGGCACACCTGGGTTGTCCACAGTGGTGCGTCTCCACACAGTCACCACCAACACAAACCCAGGCGCTGCTTCGTTCACCCAGCTCAGCGGAAACCCAATTTCATTTGGCTGATTTGAACTTTTAGACACTAAAACACACATCAGAGAAAAACCTCCCCTGTGTTTGTTTTCACCAGCGGGAATGACTCAGCCTCAGTCGAGGCAGCAATTATCAGCCCCGCCCGAACTGTCGGCCGCTCGCACATTTCCAAACCTGCATCTAATCTGACGACCCCATTGGTAAAGTTTGTCGCTGGAACTTCCAGTGACCCAGAGGAGAAGTACTGGTTTCTCAATACTTACCATTAAGATGTCTGCTGTTATGGCCCAGTTGAGGAAAAGCAGCGTCTCTCCAATAAAGATACAAACCTAAAGAAAGAAAGAGATCATTAACTCCGTGTGGGAACACTCAGAGAAATGCTTTGCTGCGGTGGTTTAAAAACGCCGAGCGTGTAGCCCACGAGCTGAAGAGCAGCACCGGATGATAAGGATTGTTGTTGAAGCTCAGTGTGGAAAACCACAACTATACAGGTGGAGGAGAAAACTTGAAGTAAGACAGGAACAGACGGGCTGCTGGTGAACAGCACCGAGGGTCCAACACGGCTCCTCACAGCCGGCTGATGTGTTTCCTGCCGGGAATAAAACTTGTGCTGCTGTTTCAGACCTACAGTACAGAGAGGTCACAGCAGACAGGTCCGCTCTGAAAGCTGCCAACACGTCGCCTCCTAGAAGAGAGACGCACGGCCGTGCGCTGACGAGACAACAGCTGCGAGAGGTCAGACGGCCTCGACAGAGCAGCGCCGCCCGCCGCAGCCGTGTCACGCCTTATAATGTGACACATCTGTCAGCGCTTTGCCATGAAACTTGAGCCGATCACTTACACGCGCTGCTGTACTGTAAGATGATTTAATACTGTACAGTAGACTGAAGCTGGCTAAAAGCAGTGACATCATGTGTTTGAAATTATGACCTCGTAGTGAGGACTGCTACTGTTGCTGCCTGGTAAAAACCCAAACCTCTGTCGTTGGACCGAGACAGCGTTCAACCTGCACTGTTACCATCTGACACTCGGAGCGATACCAGGCGTCACTTGAGTCATTAGCAAAGCTAAAGCCTGTTTCTGTAATAGAGCAACTGTATAAAATTGAGTTGGACAGATCTGTAATGGTGTAATTAATATGGAAACTTCTGCTCCTCGGCTCTAATTGGCTGAGTCATGCTGCTGCCTGACACCTGATAAATGTGCGCCTTTGACCTGGAAGAAGTTCAAACAAATCTTACTTCATTACATCGAAATCATTATTCGCAGCAGTAATCATCTGTCACCTGGGACCTACTTTGTTTGGCGTGCTACCTGTGGGCTACTCACTTAATTCATAGAAATTACACTTAACATATTGCTGCTTAAATAAATCAGCTTTTGGTTGTTTGCTCGTGGACAGTGGGAGCTCTGCATGTTTGATTTCTTCTTCCTGACAGAAGCTCAGAGGGATTTGTTCCTCATACCAGGATCAAACGTGTCACTCGAATCGTCACTCGGTTTAAAAAAATGCTCACGGTTGTAAAATCCAATACGAAGCCGGACTTTCCAGGGAAAGCCGAGGTCACATTTTTTAGGATATGGAAGCCTGTTTGTTAAGTTTCCTTACACGCATGGGAACGTTTCTGCCACTGCAGGCCAACTTGTTGAGAGTCCCTTCCTATTCCTTTGTCACTGATAAGAGCGAGAAATCTGTGCTTGATAAGTCCGACATTGTTTCAAAAACAGCCTTTCCTGCTGCACGAGGTAACTAGGTCCACTGGCTCCATGCTGTTTGCCTACGATTAGTGAGTGTGGAGGCCCGATCAGGCTCACCTGTTATTACGATCAGTATGATCAGCTACACCCATTCACTGCTCTGCTCCCACCCGACAGCTTCTCCGTCTCATTTGACTGTCAGCTTCTAGAACGAATCATAACTGACGCGCTAATATCGCCTCATCCTTCAAAATGAAGAATGCTTTTCCAACATCCCCAAACCTGGCACAGCTCTTTACTTAAACTTGATCCACTGCAGGCACAACGCCGTCTGTGCGACAGCTCCAGGGAACGAGCCTTACGTAAGCTCCAATGATGCTCTTCTTGGCCACCACGAAGATGAGGCAGATGAAGATGGCCGAGCCCAGCATGCTGACGGCGCACACCAGAGGGTCGGCTCGTTCTGTCTTCTGGCGACACAGGCGTGTGGTGAGAGCCCCGATGACCACGCCTAACAGCCCCGTCACACATGTGATGGCCCCGAACACCATGCTGTGGGAAATAACGCAGATTTAGACGAGCAGGTTTTACAGCGTGAAACACTGCGATCAAGGTCGCAGAAGAATGGCGCACTGTAAAAAAAGCTACAATCAGCTGCTCACAGTGGGTGTGTCACAGTGGGTGTGTCACACGCTCCTCCTCATGCATCCTTTGG